TTTTTTTTTCAACGTTTTTATTTATTTATGGGACAGACAGAGACAGAGCATGAACGGGGGAGGGGCAGAGAGAGAGGGAGACACAGAATCGGAAACAGGCTCCAGGCTCCGAGCCATCCGCCCAGAGCCTGACGCGGGGCTCGAACTCCCGGACCGCGAGATCGTGACCTGGCTGAAGTCGGACGCTTAACCGACTGCGCCACCCAGGCGCCCCATACTTTTTTTTCACATTTAAAAAGAATTCCCTCCCTTGATTAAGCTGCCTTAAAAAGTGCTAAGAGAAACCAAAAAGGGAAATAATTATAGATGATACAAACAGCCTACAACAACTAGGTGTTCAAAGTGTTTGTAATTCATATATCAATTCTTCCAGCCCCAAAAAGCAGCAGAGACATTTCTGCCCCAGCCACTTCCTCGCTTCTCTTTCCCCTGTCTTCTCTACCTACACCCCAAGAACTGGTCAGCTTATTTTCAGAAAACTCCCCAAAAGAGCTACATTCTTCCTTATAAAAACTCAGAAAGGGGAGCATGTGACTGGTTCAGCTGGTGGAGCATGTGACTCTTGATCTCAGGGTCATGAGTTTGAGTCCCATTTTGGGTGTAGATTATAAATAAATAAACTTTAAAAACAACAACAACAACAACAACAACTAAGAAACGTTTGAGTTCTGAAACTCCCACCTTTCCCTTAAGCATTAACAAATGGCCAGATTCTAGGATGTCCTCAACAACAACCATCATTTTATAGTTGATAAGGAAGGTCTTTCCCCACATTCTACTACGTGATTCTCAGAAAAACTTGGAGGTTGATACTACTAGTACCCACACATTTATAGATAAAGCTGATGCTCAAAGAGGCTAATTACAAGTCAGAGGTCATAAACCAATGACAAGTCAGGACTACAAGCCCTCAGTCTCTAAATTTAATCACCTCTTCAGAGTGATGTTAAATTTCAACCATACCACATACTCAGAAAACAGGATGGGGTGTTCACAACACACAAGTTATTCCAATCTAATCCCTTTCCTTCATTCTTCCATCCCTGATTTTTCTCTCCTCTCTTCTTCCAGACAGGTACCCAAGATCAAGAGAGCTGCCACTATTAATTCGTCCCTTCCTTATAGCCATCTATGCTTCTTTTTCCCGTAACTCCTTCACACAAACACACAGAAAGGGGAAACAAGTATTAACAAATAGTCACTGGATGCTCTCCATGACAGATGGATCCCAGCACCAAAGAGAAAGGACATTCCCCCGGCTCTAGGCTTAAGTCTCCTTCCACCTTCCAAGAGTCAGGGAGCAGGAAAAAACTACAGAACACTTAAGAAAAGCCCTCTTTATCAGTGCTAGCAAAAATCCTTTACTGAAGGAATTTAATTAACAGAAAAATGTAAAAGTACCAGTTTTTTAATCGGTCCCGGGCTTCCAACTGGGCTCCCACTTCAAAGCTGATTCCTCTTCTGTTAGGTGGATGCTTTGTCATTTTCAGTCATCAGCGGGGCTGCCTTTATTCTCCTGAAAAAGCCAATTAAATATTTATGAAACTTAGGGAAAGTCTGCCCAGAATGTAGCATCACTCACTACACATAAAAGACAAACAGGAATTATTCAAAACACAAAGCTCCAGGAAACCCTGTCAGTGACTTCTTTCATGCCTGCTCTCATTCCAACATAGAAGTGTCCTCCACTGGTTCCTCCTCTATTATGCAGCATCCTGTAGTTCCAGGACTGTGAGGAGACCCCCACTCAACACTGCTTACCAAGGACTCACCTATAAGGGGCACCTCTCAGAACTCCAAAACAACAATTACTCTCCAGGTTAAATTCAATCATTTGCTAATGCATTCAACAAGTATCTGCTGAGAGACTATTAAAAAAAAAACAGCCAAGACCAAAAGGGACATCAGCCCACATGAAGTCTCTGTCCACTAGGGAAAGACAAAAATATAGCCACTAAACAGATAAACAGAAGCACCTGGCTGGCTCAGTTGGTTAAATGTTCAGATTTTCAAGCCCCGAGTTGGACTCCACACTGTCAGTGTGGAGCCTGCTTGGGATTCTGTTTCTCTCCTCTCTCTGCCCCTCCCCCGCTCACGTTCGTTTTCTCTCTTGCTCTCTCTCAAAATACACTTAAAAAAAAAAAAGTCGTGTTATTAAAAAAATAGATTAATGGAATAACTGCAATCTGCAACTTCTACGAATTTTAAGTACTACATAAGAAGTAAACAAAAGCTGAGACATTGACTTCTGGCCCTATCTGGAAGGCTAGACAAGATCTATTTGTACTTTCTTTGATATATTTATATTTTCTGCCTGTTCTTGAGTTCATTCTGACAATTTATATTTTTCCTAAGTAACTCTTTATCAAACCTTTGGGTGTGGATTGGTGGTCATTTTCTATATGAATAAAATTTATCTTTAGGGGCCAATGATGGTTCTAATGGAGATGAGATGTAGCCACTCTGAGCTCTCGGGGCACTTAAGCAGGCCACCTCCATACAGCAGGCTATCTCGCTACATCTTCTCCCACTAAACTTTGGGTCTCAAAAGCCTACACTGCCCAAGCAACATAAGAGTACTGCCAAGGGCAACATCTGCCTCATACCAGAAGCAAAATCTTTGCCATGGACTGACTGTGGAAAAATAACAGAAGTGGATCCTCATATCTGATGTGTAATGCCACCACATCCTAGGAAGAATTTGTTTGCAATACATTACATGAAAAGACAGAATCCTAAATTACAGCACGTTGAGCTCACATTAAAACTCGTGTGTTGGGGTGGGCGCCTGGGTGGCTGTCAGTTGAGCATCCAACTCTTGATTTTTGCTCAGGTCATGATCCCAGGGTCATGTTGGGGGCACTTGGGCTCTGCACTGAGCGTGAAGCCTGCTTAGAATTCTTATTCTCTCTCTCTCTCTCTCTCTCTCTCTTTCTTTTGGCCCTCTCCCACACTCACAATCTCTCTCTAAAAAACAAACAAACAAACAAACAAAACTCATGTGTGTACAGGGGAGCCTAGCTGGCTCAGTCAGTAGAGCATACAACCCTTGATCTCCAGGTCATGAGTTCAAGCCCCAAATTGGGCGTAGAGCCTGCTTTAAAAAAAAGGGGGGGGGGGGG